GCCACCTTAGGTGTATGTGGCTGGCGCCTTAGCCGCTTGAGCCACAGGCGCCGAGCCAGGATATTATTATCTTTTTTAAAAGTTAAGGACATATGGGTTTCATAAATGGCATGTTTGGTTTTTCCCACGTAGGTTGAAGCTCTCTCCAAGCCCTTCTTCCCGTGTGACAGTATCCCGAGCATCCTCCAGTCGCAGTGTGCGGACAACCAGAGGAAAGCGGAAGAGAGTGGATGTGGAAGAATCCGAAGCCAGTAGTAGCGTGAGCATCTCTCATTCTGCCTCAGCCACTGGGAACGTTTGCATCGAGGAGATAGATGTTGATGGGAAATTCATCCGCTTGAAGAACACTTCTGAGCAGGTGAAAAAATAAACACCGGTTCTTACAGGTGGCCAGGCTGCCTTGCCGTTATAATAGCTGTTGTTTGGATTCAGTAAGTGTTTGTGGAGTGAGGGTTTTCACTCTCTTGTTTACTTAAATTTATGAAATAAGTAAAAATAGGAGGAGGAGGAAGAGGTAGTATTCTTTGTGGTTTAAAGATTTTCTTCACTCACTCTTTTTCCTGGTGCCAAAACCGTTTTTGATGCTTGTTCATTTTGTCACACTGGTCTTTCCAAGAATGAATTATTACTACTTCCTGCCCTAGCCAGGTTAGTGAAAAGTTAGCATGATTGGATGAAAATGGTAGATGTTCTTTTATAGCTGTTGACTTTATAAATCCTTAAGGAAAAGAAATACGAGCACAGACTCAGATATATTAAGGGAGTATTTTTCTCTTCAAATAAATGAATGAATAAATGTTAATGATTTAACTTCTATCAAGAATGATATGAAGCCCTGTCTTGAAATAATCTGAAATAAAAGAAAACATAAAATATTCACAGCAGAGATTTCCAGATTTTGGGGTTGGGGCTTTCAAGAGCTCAGCAGGGATGATCCTCCCTGGCTGGGCATTATGAAACTGGGACCGTGAAGGGATATGAGGAAAGCACAGTCGGGGGTGGGGCGAGGGGCCATGGGATGGATGTCACTTCCTAAAGCATATTTTCAGGGTGTACCAAAAGTTGTTGTGATAGTCACTCCTTTTCTCAAAACTATCTTGCATGTAGCTGGGCGTGGTGGTATAAGCATATAGTCCCGGCTATGTGGGAGGCTGAGTTTGGAAGATTCCTAGAGCCCAGAAGCTAAAGGCCAGCCTGGGCAACATCCTGAGACCCTGTTTCATCAAAAAATAAAACAAAACACAGTATCTTGCTTGTGGATGAATACGTAATTATTTGAATGAGCAAAGGAGCACTAGCAGTTTTGATACTGCAGAGAATAGGCTGTAAGGTCTCTAAAGCTAATGAACAGAGGTTTTTTTTGGAGATAAAGCCTCAAGCTATTGGCCTGGGTAGAGTGCCATGGCATCACAGCTCACAGCAACCTCCAACTCCTGGGCTCAAGTGAGTCTCCTGCCTCTGCCTCCCAAGTAGCTGGGACTATAGGTGCCTACCACAATGTCCGGCTATTTTTTGGTTGTAGCCGTCATTGTTGTTTGGCAGGGCCAGGCTGGATTCGAACCCACCCAGGTGTATGTGGCTGGAGCCTTAGCCACTTGAGCCACAGGGTCTGAGCCTGAACAGAGTATTCTTTATTGCTCCTTTGTTTTTAAAAGGCACAGTAGCCAGGTATGAAGTGATTCTGGAGTTGACTTAATGCCTGGTTTATTCTTGTCTTTGAGTTCAAGATAGATATAAATTAGTATAGTAACTGCTTTAATATCCTGCACTTTTTCTTAGAAGTCAGGGAGCTTTGGGGCTAGAGTTGATAACTCTCCCTAGGACTGGCTCACTACAGCATTGACCCATTTTTGAGCCCTGTATGCCTTAAGGTACAACAGCTAACGTGGCCAGAAATGAGGCAGAGGGACAAGGAATAGGACAGATTTTCTTCCTTCTGTTTCTAAGTTTATGTGTTTATATTTCAAAAGCTTAATCATACAGTACATGTTCATAATTGCAATAATGACAGTTTGATATGTTAACAAATTTGAAAGACCCACCTGATCTAGCAGTGAATATGACCATTTAATTTGGTTCATACTCATTTTTCCAGTTTTGTAATTTTTAAAATTAATTATCTTACTCATTAAATCATGTTTTCTTTTTATAGTAGGAAAATATGAAACATGAGATGATGACCAGAAAGGGATCTTGTTTCATCTGCCTGGATTTATTTACTCAATTACTCTATGACTTTCTTTATAATTACAGTAACCTTTTTTATTTTGCTCTATGAATAGGATCAGCCAATGGGAGGCTGGGAGATGATCAGAAAAATAGGAGACACATCAGTCAGTTACAAATATACCTCCAGATATGTGCTGAAGGCAGGCCAGACTGTTACGGTAAGTGAAGTTAGTCATCATTTAACTTAACTTCATTGTCTAACTTTCTGACTGAAAGAGAACATTTTAGAAAGGGGGATTAAAGCAATTTTACATTATTTGGGTATTATAATTGCTACTAAAATTCTCTCCTTTTGAAAGTGGTAAATTGATTTTGAATCCTTTTTATCTTGTTTATTACAGTAGATAACAAAATAGCTGTCTTTTGAGTGATACTTGTAGCCCTGTGTCATTTAAGAGATACTGTTTGACACAAAGAATAGTCGTTAAGAAATTAAGGCTGGTAGGTGCCTTCAACAGTGATCTTCAGCCTTGGGTAAACTTCACAATCATCTGGGTAGTGTTTTGATATCAAGACCCACCTCACTTATCTCAGCTATTGTTGAGGTTGGGGTATAGGCCTATATTTTGAACTAAAGTCTTTAGATGATAGACACCCTTATAAAGAATCGCTGCTTGAAACATCATAATTGAGGAAGTGTAATGTGTGGTTTTGGGTAGTATATAAGGTGCTAGCTCGGGAAAGGATAAACTTACGTGGCATTCTGATTCTGTCTTGATTTCTAAATGACCCTGTATTGTTATTTTCTGAGATATTACATCTTCAATAGTTACCAAAATCTGAACAGCTCATTTTAGAGACGTATATGCTCCACTGAACAAATAAGAGTCCTTTGCTTTTACTTAGTAAGTAGATTGAACATACAATAAAATATATTAATTTTGACATAGATTTTATAGAAGTCATTATTTTCAACCTTAAAGAACATACAGGTAACTGTCTCCTTCCTTTTCTGGCTTCTTTTTTAAAATACTAAGCATGTTTTAAATATTTTTTATAATTTTATGATTGATACAAACCTTACGTAATATTTAGCTTCAATGGCTCAAACTGTGAGTTAGTACATCTCTTAAAAAAATATATTTAGAGAGCTTGACACCACTTTGTGAAAAAATACCAGATGTTAATTTTGTAATAATGGGTAAAAATGGGATCAACTATCTTAACCACACTATCCCTTCTTCTCTTTGGTAATTATTATACTCAGAGAAAATTGCTCAGTCCTATTATATGTCTTCTGGGAGTGGCGTAATGTGGTAAAAAGATCCTGATGTTTTAATTCAGAAGATTTCAATTTGAGTGTGCTTTCTAGCTCTACAGTGATAGGGACCTATGATGCCAGCCATCTCCTTTTTCCATGGGGGAGACCACCTTGGGACTAATAGATAGATTCTGTAGGTCTAGTGGAGAACTGAATTATCATATAAGATAATATAATGCATTTTTTTCTTCAGTAGTTAGCATTAAATGTGATAAGAAGCTGGTTAGAATGCAGTAGTGATAAGTGATCTTTCTGTAATATTGCAGAGGCAGAAAGCAAAGATCAGTTTAAACCTCTAGAACAGAAGTATGAGAACCACACGTATAATTTAAAATTTTCTCATAGCCATGTAAAAAGAAAGTAAAAAAGGAAGATTTGAAATTAATTTTAGAAATATATTTTATTTAACCCATTATAGTCAAAATGCAATTATTGAATGCATATTTAATATGTAATCAATATAAAAAATATTAGGTGTTTTACATTCCTTTTTTCTAATTAGGTCTGTGAAATCTAGTGTGTATTTTATCCTTATGATACATTTCAAGTGCTCAAAAGCCACGTATCATTGCTGTATTGAACAAGACGGCTATTGGGCATATTCACTTTAGGTTAAATGATCCAGCAAGGTTAGAGACATTTTGTTACTATTATTATTAACACTAAACCAACAATATGATTTCACATAGACTAGTGAGAAGTATTGCTTGGAATTAGAAAAACACTAGCATTTCACATGACCTGACAACTGGCCCAGACCCAACTCTTTTTTTCAGTTTCATTCCAGTAAATGCCCCTTTTTATTTGTAATGCTGATCAAAGATCCAGAAGCTTCAAGTCATTATCTAAATAAAATGTAAGGGCTCCCTCCACACCAGTAATTTGCTAAATGACTGTCTTTGTTTCGGATGTGCTACCTTTGCCATCTCCAGCCTCCTTTTTGCAGTCACGAAGTCTTACATTGCGTAACAGTTCATGGACTTCTATCCACATCTCTTTTCAAATGTTCCTTGTAAGAGATCGTGCCAGGAATGTCCCTGCAGCTGAGGACACTGATGCTCAGAGAGGACAGCGATTTGTCCAGGGTTCAAACCCAGGTTTTCAGGTTGTTAAGTTTACTCCACTCTACCCATTCTTTTCCACTGACAGATAGATAAAAAATGAGGCAGAATTTCCAGGCTGAAAAGGGAAATGTAATTATTTCTTTTGGCCTATTTTAGTAGCGGTTATATTTTCCCTGTTAGAATAGTGGGTGATTTAGCCATTTCTGGGATTGCGTTTAGAGTGTGTACTTGCAGATATTCTGGGGTATTTTGACAGTGTCTCTGCCTGGAGACATAAGCAGTTTCCAGAAGAGTATTCTAGATGAGCTGTCTGCGACAGAAGTTCTCCTTAATTCCTGCTGTAGGCATGGGGAGCACTACCGAGGGAGTCAGGACGCTCTAACACGGGAGGAATAATAGAAAGCCAAGGCTGCTTGCTATTCGCTGGGCAAGCCAGCCCCTGTACGTGGGTAATCACTTGCTCTTCACAACAACCCACCTCTCGCAGGTACCAATTATCATTTATGGATAATGAAAATAAAGTAGCTTGCTCAAGGTCAACTGGTGTGTAGGGGAACTGGGATGTGATGCGGCAGTTTCACTTCAGGGCCTGTGTGTCATCTTTGTGTATTAGATGGGGAAGCTGAGCTTTGAGAATTCTGAAGCTCAGACATTCTCTCAGACTTGTAGAATCTAGCGTCTAAGTCCCATCTTCTTATTGTCATTGGCATGTGGGAGAGCTGGGTTCTGGGTGCACTGATGTCTTTTCTTTTTTCCAGATTTGGGCTGCAAATGCCGGTGTCACAGCCAGTCCTCCCACCGACCTCATCTGGAAGAACCAGAACTCTTGGGGCACTGGTGAAGATGTGAAGGTTATCTTAAGAAATTCTCAGGGAGAGGTACGGCTGTTAGTTCAGAACCACACAATGTCAGTGTCCCCTGAAGTTTCACCATGATGAAGAAAGTATGATTTCTTTTCAAAAATCAAATTGAAATGTAAAGTACTCCATTTCTTAAATCAGACCAAAGCTGCTAAGTAAACCAAACTAAAGCTATCTCTAAATTTAGGAATAAATAGGAGTGTATGTGGAGCACTGATCATTAGCACAGGCTCCAGCGTCAGATTGTCTGTGTCCGGTTTCTTTTTCCACGTCACTGACTGGCTTTGTGACTTTGGACAAGTTACACGCCTCTCTTGAGTTTTCTTATTTAAAAGTGGGTATTAGCGGGACAACATAAATGAGATAATATTAATGTGACGATCTTTGGGAAATCCTTGACACAGTAGCTGGCGTAGTACATTTGTCTAGTAAATGCTTATCTTACTAACCTTTCTCTCACAAAGTGTTCGTGAAACTGAGTTAGAAGATTGTGGATTGTATTTCTGCTTTGTGTGTTTATTTTCAATGTGTCAGTCTTAGAATTCTTGTCTAAGAACTTTATCTCCACTTCTGCCATGTAAAGACATCACACACGCTCTACCAATATTAGTCTTAGAAATACCACCCCCTGCTAAAGCAGGTAGGGCATCCTTTGAAACTAGTAAAGCCTGGCCTCGTCTGTCTGTCCTTAGTTAACCAACCCACCCAAGTGCCATGCAAAACATCACTGAAGCTCTGTGTGGAAGTTGAGAGTCCTTCTTTGCTGGTATTGCCATAAATATGTTAATGAAGCTTCCTCAGGGAATGAACAGAGTAAAGAAAAATCATGTTGCTATGTGGATTGTAAGGAACAAAACCAGGCAGAGATAGAGCAAGGGAAGAAGGTAACTTAGACTGAGATGGCTAAGAGAGGAGAAGGTGGAAGAGAAGTGAACTGGCTGTAGAGGTATTGTGGGGGTAGACTTGTCAGGATGTACTGATGGGGTTCCACGTGAGGAATGGGACAGAGAGATGGGAATCATTGGCCCTTGGTTTGTTAGCTTGGGAAGCTGCTGGTCCTGGTGCCAGTTATGGAGGAAGCTGCAGGAGGAACAAGGCTTGCTGGGGAGAAGGGTTGGGAGAGAATTGAGGCCTTTCTGGCCATACTAAGTTTGAGTTAGGTTTCCAAATGAGGTGGCTAGAAGGCTTTTGGGAGATCTGCTTGAAGGCTGAGCTAGAGATGTTCAGGAGATGCATAGATGTACTTAACATTGCAGGCAGGACTGGCTGACTAGCGAGTTTGTCAGAGAGGAGGAGTTCCAAATCGAGCCCTGGAAGATGTTGACATTGAGAATAAGTTACAGCAAAGAAGCTTGAAGGTGCAGCCAGTGAGGTGGCAGGAAAACAGTGAGGGAAAACCAGAGAGGGAAGTTTCTGTGAGGGAGGGAAGTGGTCAGCAGGTTAGCTCGGCGTCCCCGTGAGGTTCCTTCTCTATTCCCATGGTGCTGGTGCAGACCTCTTACCCGCACAGAGCTTGCTTTGCTTACTGGAAGAAGCACACTGGAGGAAGAGTCTGTTCTGGACGATGGTGGTATTGTGTCTGACACAGAAGAGGCAGTCATAAGCATGTGCTGGATAATTTTTTTTTTTCTTTAAATCAGACATGGACCTGCACTTAAGAGAGAGAAATAAAGTACTAACAGTATTCATTTACTATGGGAGTCTGAGTGTTTACACAAAAGTCTGGGTTCTGGCCGTCTTCGCATCCATCCCTCACTGTAAACATCAGTATTTAGATTGTTGTCCGTAACAGATTCATTGTCTGCTGCCTGAAGAGTGCTCTTGGTCTCAGACCAAGGTTGAAAATAAAGAGGCATCTGATGTTTTCACCTTAGTACATGGTGTGAGGTTTGGGTTCGTGTGGGAAATGCACCTCCAGATACCCCCTGGGTTCTCAAGAGTGGAAGGTGTTTACTAACACCCTCCACGGCTCACAGACTTCAGGCGCTGGCTCTGCCTCCTGTGAAGCCCTTGCTCACCCCCTGTTTCAGCTCTCTGGGCTCCTACCCAGCTGTCGTGGGTGCTGCCACCCCCGAGCTGGAAACACCTGCTCTTCCCCTCTGCCTGAAATTGGCAGAATTTATTTCCCTTTTAAAATATTGTTAAGATTGTTGATCTGCTCAGATTAAAAGCACTGTCCTAGGGAGTATATAGAGGATTAAAGAGGCTTTTGTGAGCCACGGAAATCTAGTCACTGTTTTTTCCTGCAAGTAAGAAACAAGTAAGTTCCTGCAAGTCTTGCAAGTAAGAAACAGTCTGACGGGAGGGTATTTGGAATGCAGCTGCAGATTTAAAAGCCCACAAAATGCAGGGATGTAAACAAAGTATTAATAGATACCATATAGGGGATGTCTTGGGGCAGAATCACTGACGGCATTTCAGTAAAGCGAACTGAAGCTGAGCTGTGCTCATGATTCACACACTGATAGTAGATTCTTTGGTTGGTTGGTTGGCTTGTCCATTCTTTTAACAGACTTGTACTTCCTTCTGCTTGCTAGGCTCAGTTTTAAGTGACTTGAGTTAGAAGTGAGGAGAGAAAGTATTATGAACATAATTCTTATTTCTGTAACCATTAGACAAATACTTCTGGCTACTCTGTAAGACTGTTTATATTTATTAGTAGATATGTTAGCAACAAGCTATAAACTCCACTATAAAAGCCACTTCTGAGTAAAATTGTAGGTAATTAGTTGGCTTAAGTCAGTTGAATTTTTTCTTTTTTTGGAGACAGGGTCTTACTATGTCACCCTTGGTAGACTGCTGTAGCGTTACAGCTCACAACAACCTCCAACTCTTGGGCTTAAGTGATTCTCTTGCCTCAGCCTCCCAAGTAGCTGGGACTACAGGTGCCTGCCACAACGCCCGGCTATTTTTTTTGCAGTTGTTTAGTTGTTTAGTTTTTCATTGTTGTTTAGCTGGCCTGTGCTGGATTCGAACCCACCAGCCTCAGTGTATGTGGCTGACGCCATAACCACTGTGCTACGGCCACCGAGCCATCAGTTTAATTTTTTTATATAGTTTTCTTCTTGCCGGAGCATTGGAATTGTCAGAAAACCCACTTGAACTGGCTTAGCAAAAATGGAGATTATTTGGGTTCATGTGATCAAAAATTTAAGAGTAGAATTTATCCAGTGGCCCAGACAGTGTCCTGAAGGCTCTGTCCGATGTCTTTCCTCCCTAGTTTGCCTCCCTTGAGAATGCAGGAGAGCTGCCAGCTCCCCCCAGGGCACATCATTTCTGTTCGCTGTTTGTGAGGAAGGGCATCTTCCCCTCTGAGGGCCACAACCTGGACTTCGTTCTTACTGTACCAGCTTGGGTCATGTGCCCACCTCAAACCAGTTCCTGGCATCAGGAAGGTGGAGTTAGAGCAGCAGTTCTCAACCTGTGGGTCGTGACCCACAGGAACTGTATTAAAAGGCCATGGCGTTAGGAAGGTTGAGGAACCACTGAGCTAGACCTTGAGTCCTCCTCTTCCCTTCACAGCTGCATCACACTGGGCTTTGTGATGCAGGCGTGCTCTTACCTAGATGGGAGGAAAGAGGTGCCATGTTACCATGGCAAAATAAGATACTTTTCTAGGAGGGAAATAAAAAAATAAAGCAGTTCCCCCAAACCTTCAGAACATAGACACAACTGAACTTTTGTTTGTACTGATGATGACTGATGTGTGTAGAGGTGTAATATATCCTGTATAAACAGTAGGGTCTCCATCCGTAAAACCATACCCTGGTTTGTAGCCTTTGCGGATTTCTGTTGCATAATGTCCCGGCCGTGGCTGATTTCAGGCTTCCAGCATGAGGTGACCCACAGAGTTGTGCAGATTGCGCACAGTCAGCAGATGCTAGCCGGCTCCAGCTTACTGAATGAATTAGTGTCCCTTTGAGTTCCCAAGGCTCCGAGCAGGGCAGACAGGTAAAGTGTTTTAGAGAGAAAGAGTAAAACCTGCCGTGTGAGAACATGTATGTGTACCTGTCAGGATACCGATGAGAGTTGGGGACCTTGCTGAGAGGATTTTGGGGGAATAGGGTGGCAAAAGCATTTACCTGTTATCCTGATTAGTAATTTCCTGGGTCTAAACCTCCCAGTAACTTTTTGGTTCTAAATTGTTTGTTTCACTACTTTCCTACCTAGAGTTTTAGACATTATTTTAATGCTCTCTAATTTTCCACACAGGCTTTCAACATGAGATTAATTGGTTATTTAAATGTTTTCAAATGAAAAGTGCTTAGCAGCAGGCCTATATTAGAAGAAGTTATGTTGAAATAATTCATAATTAATGAATTTGGGCAAGTTGCTGTTTTCTAAGCTTCTTATTAAGGATAATTGTCTTAAGTTACATCATAAACCTTAGGAGCCAGTATCTGCATATGTAATTTGTGCACTGCTATGAGCTGCCAGAAGCTGGAATGTAGGAATTCTGTAATAGAAAATTTTCT